CACTTCTCTGGTTCTTGGCATATGACCATGTTCTTGCAATCTTCTATTCATCTCTTCTACCTTCACATATATCTCTTCCAATTGTGGGTATGTTTTGTCACCAATAATGAATTCATGCATAGCACCATTTGTCTCGACCAAGCTACTTCCAGGCATTTTATGAACCCCATGATCTTTCATCAATTTTCACACCCTTTTCACATCATCCCACCTATTCATGCTTGCATACAGATTAGATAAAAGCACATAATTCCCACTAATCTCTGGCTCTAACTGTGTCAAGTGGGATAGTGCAAGTTCACCTATCTCTAAATTGCCATGAACTCTAGCTGCCCCTAGCAAAGACCTCCACAAAATTGCATTAGGCTTCATGGGCATTGTCCGAACCGTTTCCTCAGCCTCCTTAAGCCGCCCGGCTCAACCTAAAAGATCCACTAGGCACCCACAGTGCACAATTTTTGGCTCAAGTCCATATTCCACCTTCATACACTCAAAATACTTGCAACCTTGGTCAACCAACCCAACATGTGAGCAAGCACACATTATAACTACCATTGTCACATCATCAGGAAGCAACCCATCAAGGTTCATTTTCTTGAAAAGTTCAAGTGCCTCGTTCCCATGACCATGAATTGCAAACCCTCTAATCATTGCATTGTAACACAATGTGTCTCTATCAGGCAATTGACCAAACAACTGAAATGCAAGTCCGAGACATCCACAATTTGCATAGAAATCAATCAAAGCCGTGCTTATGTAGTGGTTTAATTTGAGACTCTTCTTTAATACATAAGCATGTGCCCATGTGCCTTGTCCAAATGCACCCAAATTACCACAAGCACCGATTAAAGTTACCATGGTAACCTCATTAGGCCTAACCAGAGACTTCTGCATATCATTGAACAAGGACAGAACTTCTAATGACAAACCAGTATTGTCAATATCATCACTACTAATGGCATTGTGAACACAATGTACACTAGCATTACGAGCATAAGCAGATAATATAGAATTCCATGTAGCTAAATCAGGGTGACTGACTTGATCAAAAAGGTACCTTGAAATGCTCACTTTGCCAATTATGGAGTAAAAATTGAGCAATGAGGCTTGAACAAAGTGATAATAGGAGGGCTCACGAAATTTCAAGACATGGGTATGTAAGGCTCGACCATATTGGAGCCATGGGTGCGATCTACAAGCCTTGAATAGAGATGGGTATGTATGGTCATTGGGTTTGAGGTTGGTATGAGTGAGAATGCGAGAGTAGAGAGAGAAGGCTACGTGGGTTTGGTCATTCTGTGGATGGCTTGTGAGAGATGTGATGAGGGTGTTGAAGATGAAGATGAAGATGGTCGGGTGAGAGGCTTGGTTGAAGATGGCTAATGTGTAGGATAAGGTGGCTAGGGTGGAGGATAAAAGAAGGATGCGACTGAGAGGGTAGGTGTGGAGGATCAGACCTGTTGTGAGCATTTGGGCATGGACTTGTTTGAGGGTGTCTATGCTTTTGCATTGTTATAAGAGTTGGAGGGTTGGGTTGTTGAAAAATGGGTTTGTGGCTTTCATGGAGTGGAAGTGATTGAATGTGTGGGTTGCACAAAGGCACTATATATGTATCTTGTGAGTGAGACAGAGAAGCGGAAGGTTCGATCACATCACTTAAAAGAGTTTTTTTACGTATGTACTTATTATTTTATATGGATAATGTAGTTACAAAATAATGGTGTAAATCAATGTGGTGCAAATAATGAACAGATGGANGGAGGATCAGACCTGTTGTGAGCATTTGGGCATGGACTTGTTTGAGGGTGTCTATGTTTTTGCATTGTTGTAAGAGTTGGAGGGTTGGGTTGTTGAAAAATGGGTTTGTGGCTTTCATGGAGTGGAAGTGATTGAATGTGTGGGTTGCACAAAGGCACTATATATGTATCTTGTGAGTGAGACAGAGAAGCGGAAGGTTCGATCACATCACTTAAAAGAGTTTTTTTACGTATGTACTTATTATTTTATATGGATAATGTAGTTACAAAATAATGGTGTAAATCAATGTGGTGCAAATAATGAACAGATGGAATGATTAGTAATTGACTATCTGGATCTGAGCTACAAGGCTCGAAAGTGCAAGGACTGGTATCGATCAGAAATTGGGGGATTGACACAATAGAATTATAGTGGTTCACCAGTTCAGCAGCTCGGCTAATCCACTCTTCAATAGAAATTCTTGCTCATTTTTCCCTTTATTCATCATTCAGAAGGTTTATTAGATAGAGTATATGTTACTAGAGTTTTTTTCNGACGCACATTGTATTCAGTCTAAGAGCGGGTACTATCATTTTCAAGATTTCTATTACTTATTTGTCTCCCCTTTTTTAGAGATCGCCTTATTCTNTTAGATAGAGTATATGTTACTAGAGTTTTTTTCTCTCTCGCTTTGGGAGAGTTACATAATATTTATAGGGCTGTTCTTAGTTCTATGAGATCTGTACCGAGATCCTTGCTATTTATCCAAGAAATTCTCCTTAATCTTAGAAGAGGATCATGGCTGGTTAAGGATTTTGTACCTTGANTGTATCTTGTGAGTGAGACAGAGAAGCGGAAGGTTCGATCACATCACTTAAAAGAGGTTTTTTACATATGTACTAAATATTTTATATGGATAATGTAGTTACAAAATAATGGTGTAAATCAATGTGGTGCAAATAATGAGCAGATGAAATGATTAGTAATTGACTATCTGGATCTGAGCTACAAGGCTCGAAAGTGCAAGGACNAAATGGATTCAATATCCGCCTATCATTTCTGATGTGATTCATGTGTGCAATGAACAATCAATGAAACAAAATAAAAGAATATAAGAATTTATGTGGTTCAATAACTTGCCTACGTCCACAATCCTAGGACGGCTGTCTTGTTTTTATTCAACCCTAAATTAGGGTTGCAACTTAACTTAAATATGTTACAACCCTAATTAGGGCATCCACAAGGCACGTGCTACTCCGACAACTAGCCCATTATCCCCTTGAACCTAGTGTAACTCTCCATACTATGAATATGAGCCACCTATCCCAACAATTACTTTGTCACATATCTTCAAAAAAAGCTTAGTACTTGCATTAATCACTACAAACCTGAAGATTCTTTAGTATTAGGATTGGTGCACTAGAATCCAATGCAATGAGTCCAAAAGCAATACTTAGCCTCTCACTGTGATATGTGAGTGCATCTTGCTTCTCTTCCTTTTCAGTGTCTATCGACACTTCTCTGGTTCATGGCCTACAGCCATAATCTTGCAATCTTCTATTCTGGCTTCAAATAACTCTCTTTTTATTGTGGGAACACTGAATGTTAGGAAGCCTCACCACCAATCCAAGCAATAACAATCCTCTCTTTAAAATGATGAAATCGATTTTGATCTCTTACTATAGTTTCTCTGTCATCATCTACCTTGGAAATAAGCTCCCTACTTGCATGGCAATCATCACAAACCCGAAGATTCTTTATAACTCAGGATTGGTACAATGCACCCAGATGCAATGAATCCAAAAGGAATAGCCAGCCTCTGAATGTGTGAGAGGGCATCTTCCTTCTCTTCCTCTTCAGTGCCAAATATTACTTTTCTGGTTCTTGGCCTATGACCATATTCTTTGCATCTTCTAGTCATCTCTGCTAGCTTTAGTGTATCACTTTTGATTGTGGGAACCTTGTAAATGTTAGGAAGCCTCTCACCAGTAATCCAAACAAGAACAAGCCCCCTCTTTAAAATGATGAAATCAATTTTGATCTCTTACTATAATTTCTCTGTCATATATCTTTGAAATAAGCTTAGTAATTGAATGGCAATCACTTCAAACTCGAAGATTCTTTATTATACGGATTGGTGAGCTGGAATCAGATGCAATGAGTGCAAACGCAATAGCTAGCCACTCACTGTGGTATGAGAGTGCATCTTCCTTCTCTTCCTCTTCAATGTCAAACAGCACTTCTCTGGTTCTTGGCATATGACCATGTTCTTGCAATCTTCTATTCATCTCTTCTACCTTCACATATATCTCTTCCAATTGTGGGTATGTTTTATCACCAATAATGAATTCATGCATAGCACCATTTGTCTCGACCAAGCTACTTCCAGGCGTTTTATGAACCCCATGATCTTTCATCAATTTTCACACCCTTTTCACATCATCCCACCTATTCATGCTTGCATACAGATTAGATAAAAGCACATAATTCCCACTAATCTCTGGCTCTAACTGTGTCAAGTGGGATAGTGCAAGTTCACCTATCTCTAAATTGCCATGAACTCTAGCTGCCCCTAGCAAAGACCTCCACAAAATTGCATTAGGCTTCATGGGCATTGTCCGAACCTTTTCCTCAGCCTCCTTAAGCCGCCCGGCTCAACCTAAAAGATCCACTAGGCACCCACAGTGCACAATTTTTGGCTCAAGTCCATATTCCACCTTCATACACTCAAAATACTTGCAACCTTGGTCAACCAACCCAACATGTGAGCAAGCACACATTATAACTACCATTGTCACAGCATCAGGAAGCAACCCATCAAGGTTCATTTTCTTGAAAAGTTCAAGTGCCTCGTTCCCATGACCATGAATTGCAAACCCTCTAATCATTGCATTGTAACACAATGTGTCTCTATCAGGCAATTGACCAAACAACTGAAATGCAAGTCCGAGACATCCACAATTTGCATAGAAATCAATCAAAGCCGTGCTTATGTAGTGGTTTAATTTGAGACTCTTCTTTAATACATAAGCATGTGCCCATGTGCCTTGTCCAAATGCACCCAAATTACCACAAGCACCGATTAAAGTTACCATGGTAACCTCATTAGGCCTAACCAGAGACTTCTGCATATCATTGAACAAGGACAGAACTTCTAATGACAAACCAGTATTGTCAATATCATCACTACTAATGGCATTGTGAACACAATGTACACTAGCATTACGAGCATAAGCAGATAATATAGAATTCCATGTAGCTAAATCAGGGTGACTGACTTGATCAAAAAGGTACCTTGAAATGCTCACTTTGCCAATTATGGAGTAAAAATTGAGCAATGAGGCTTGAACAAAGTGATAATAGGAGGGCTCACAAAATTTCAAGACATGGGTATGTAAGGCTCGACCATATTGGAGCCATGGGTGCGATCTACAAGCCTTGAATAGAGATGGGTATGTATGGTCATTGGGTTTGAGGTTGGTATGAGTGAGAATGCGAGAGTAGAGAGAGAAGGCTACGTGGGTTTGGTCATTCTGTGGATGGCTTGTGAGAGATGTGATGAGGGTGTTGAAGATGAAGATGAAGATGGTCGGGTGAGAGGCTTGGTTGAAGATGGCTAATGTGTAGGATAAGGTGGCTAGGGTGGAGGATAAAAGAAGGATGCGACTGAGAGGGTAGGTGTGGAGGATCAGACCTGTTGTGAGCATTTGGGCATGGACTTGTTTGAGGGTGTCTATGTTTTTGCATTGTTGTAAGAGTTGGAGGGTTGGGTTGTTGAAAAATGGGTTTGTGGCTTTCATGGAGTGGAAGTGATTGTATGTGTGGGTTGCACAAAGGCACTATATATGTATCTTGTGAGTGAGACAGAGAAGCGGAAGGTTCGATCACATCACTTAAAAGAGGTTTTTTACATATGTACTAAATATTTTATATGGATAATGTAGTTACAAAATAATGGTGTAAATCAATGTGGTGCAAATAATGAGCAGATGAAATGATTAGTAATTGACTATCTGGATCTGAGCTACAAGGCTCGAAAGTGCAAGGACTGGTATCGATCAGAAATTGGGGGATTGACACAATAGAATTATAGTGGTTCACCAGTTCAGCAGCTCGGCTAATCCACTCTTCAATAGAAATTCTTGCTCATTTTTCCCTTTATTCATCATTCAGAAGGTTTATTAGATAGAGTATATGTTACTAGAGTTTTTTTCTCTCTCGCTTTGGGAGAGTTACATAATATTTATAGGGCTGTTCTTAGTTCTATGGGATCTGTACCGAGATCCTTGCTATTTATCCGAGGAATTCTCCTTAATCTTAGAAGAGGATCATGGCTGGTTAAGGATTTTGTACCTTCAATATGACTTTTTGCCACCTAACAGATTTATGTTATCATCCAGTTATTTCCTTATCATTTTCGCTTTTGGCGTGCCTGGGTGGGGGGGGGGGAGCTCTTAGCTCTGACCTGGGCTCTGCTTGTCTTTTCTGACTTCTTTTACAGACCTGCTTGTCTGACCTCTTGGACTGACCTCATGCCTAGAGATTATTCTGAGTACTATCAGTTGCCCCCCCCAGCCCTTGTTCTAGTTGAACTTGAGTAGGGGCTGAGCCGAGGCTTAAACAGGCCTGACCTGCAAATGCAGACCTCGATTTACGCGCGAACAGGTTTTTAACGATTTTAGACAATCATTTCANAGCCCTTGTTCTAGGTGAACTTTAGTAGGGGCTGAGCTGAGGCTTAAACAGGCCTGACCTCCAAATGTAGACCTCGATTTACGTGCGAACAGATTTTTAACGATTTTAGACAATCATTTCACTTCCTAGGTTCTCGTGCACGTTCTCCACTCTGTATTGTTAACTTAAATGTTTTCCAAATTGAGAGGGAGCGGTTTATTCCATCCTTTGAACTCCCTCTCTGTACTTTTTTCCTCTCTTCTTTCTCTGACTTTCAATTTTTCGATTTTGCTGGTGCCACTAGGGCTTTGCTGAGGAAACGATTTTCCCTGATTCAATCCGAGGTTTCAACGAGATTTGCTCTTTGCCCTCGATTCTAGATTTGGCCTATTGTTCCTCTTTTCCTAGGTACGCTTTTTACCCTCTGTTTGTCTCCGTTCTAGATCCCTCAGATTTGAGGTGGTTCTTGTATTTTTGGACCTTTCAATTTTGCTATTTTNTCCTGATTCAATCCGAGGTTTCAATGAGATTTGCTCTTTGCCCCCGATTCTAGATTTGGCCTATTGTTCCTCTTTTCCTAGGTATGTTTTTTACCCTCTGTTTGTCTCCGTTCTAGATCCCTCAAATTTGAGGTGGTTCTTGTATTTTTGGACCTTTCAATTTTGCTATTTTAGAAACCGAGGTTGATCGCTATCTCAAATTTCCCTTTTTTTTTGACCCTTATTCGACTGCTAGGGTCTTCCTTATTGAGAATTGTTGTGTTGTTCTCCAAACCCTTAGGGAGTGTTTCACGAATATTCCTCCCCTCTATCGTACATTTTGACTCCCTTTTTCCTGCCCCACCATGTCTACCTCTTCTTAAGCCACCCCTTCCTCTATTTCCCTTCTGGGGGATAGGACTGCTGAGAACACCTCGGACTTAGGCGNCTTTTTGGACCCTTATTCGACTGCTAGGGTCTTCCTTATTGAGAATTGTTATGTTGTTCTCCAAATCCTTAGGGAGTGTTTCACGAATATTCCTCCCCTCTATAGTACATTTTGACTCCCTTTTTCCTGCCCCACCATGTCTACCTCTTCTTAAGCCACCCNTTTTTTTTTGACCCTTATTCGACTGCTAGGGTCTTCCTTATTGAGAATTGTTGTGTTGTTCTCCAAACCCTTAGGGAGTGTTTCACGAATATTCCTCCCCTCTATCGTACATTTTGACTCCCTTTTTCCTGCCCCACCATGTCTACCTCTTCTTAAGCCACCCCTTCCTCTATTTCCCTTCTGGGGGATAGGACTGCTGAGAACACCTCGGACTTAGGCGAGGTAGATGAGAAAATTGATAAGTTCCCTGGGGTTGATTATGCTGAAGTCGAGGGAAACACCGAGGAAACTCCCTTATTTGCCCCCCTGCGCCCAAAGATTCTAGTAAGGGCAAGACTAAAGTGAGCGGAGTTGGTGTCTTAGCCAGTGTCNAGGAAACTCCCTTATTTGCCCCCCTGCGCCCAAAGATTCTAGTAAGGGCAAGACTAAAGTGAGCGGAGTTGGTGTCTTAGCCAGTGTCGAAGATGCAAGGGCTGCCTTTAGAGCTGCTGAGCTCGCAGGCCCCAGTGAGGTTAGTCTACCTCTAATGAAGGTCCTTAGTGCTTGTTTCGATTTTTCCCGAAGAGTTTAGTTTTGGTGCCCGAATAAGTTTATTCCATATGTCCCCCAGGTCCATAAGAATGTTTCTTTAGATCGGGCATGTGACGCACATTGTATTCAGTCTAAGAGCGGGTACTATCATTTTCAAGATTTCTATTAGTTATTTGTCTCCCTTTTTTAGAGATCGCCTTATTATTTTCCCAATTTTGATTCCATACTTTTGTCGCCTTCTTCATCTTCTTGTTATATTCTTCTTCATTGTTTAAAGAGAGAATTGTTAATGATGCCGATGGACTCTATAATTCTGAGATTGACTTAGTTTTTTTTGCCATTTTGGAGAATATCTTGGCCTTCATTTCTACTTCAGTTGGCTCCCTTTGAGGATTGCAGGGCAGAAGGTTGAGACGATAATATCATGTGACAGTAATGATAGAATAGACTATTATACTAGCAATCTCACCCTAACCATGCTAACCAGATTGTAATGGACCATAAAGTTTTGATTTAAGTTGCCTGTTTCATATAGGGCCATATATGGGCATAGGCTTGGGCTTTAGGTGCTGGCCGATGGGTCCAGCATGATTGAACACAACAAATATAAGTATGTTTTCCTTTGGGAAGGTTCCCAACAGTCGAGTGGTTATTTTAACTATTGTAACCCATCCAACAACCATAAAGGCCATAGTATGTGGGCAAAATTTGTAATTGTATACATAATTCATTGGACATTCCGTGGGACATGTCTGTGCAAGATCAGGCCCTGTTTGNATAGTATGTGGGCAAAATTTGTAATTGTATACATAATTCATTGGACATTCCGTGGAACATGTCTGTGCAAGATCAGGCCCTGTTTGGTCTGGCCTATGGACAACTTTAGTTTATGTAGGAAAGAAAAATCTTGTATCTTGAATTGAAAGTGTCGAAAAGACGGTGTGTAGTTTTGAAAGAAATGATCAAAAGTGCACCTCATGCTTGCAAAACGATCAAATTGTCAGAGACCAAGGGTTGACCGGCCACAAACTATGTATAAGTCAATAAAGATTCTGAGAATAAACAAGCAATTTTGAAGGGAAATAAGGTGGTGTTTGATAAAACTAAAAGGTGAAATCTAAAAACTGAAAGTTGAAAGTTGAATACTAAATTTGTGGATTATTTGGTACCCACTGAAATTTAAGTATTGAATTAAATCAAACTGTCTAATAACTACACAGAGCTCACGAAAATAAATTAATTTTCAGTTTTACCTTTTCACTCTTCAATTTAAAAATATTTATAAAATATGCAGAATAAGTGAAGTGTGTATATATGTATATATATGTATTGAAGTATGCGTGTTGTAGTATGCATGTTTGCATCAAACAAGAGAAGAAAAAATGAAGAAGAAGAAGACAAGGGAAGTTGATGGTTGAAAAAGACTTACCTGTCATTGAAGAAAACGACCGGCAAGGAGGATAAATGAGTTAGGAGTTATTGAAAGAAGACTAATTAGAGTTTTAATTATAGGATTATAAAATATTTTGAGGTATAATTGTCATATTATAAATATTATTAAAGATAGTTTTGCTTAGTGTTTTCAACTTTCAGAATTAAGTAATAGATCTCCTATTTAATATTGTAGCCTATTTTTAAGAAGTACTTAACATATTAATTCAGGTTAAATTTTAGTTATCAAACGAGCTTATTTAATAAGTACCGAATATATTCATTTTAAGGGTTGAATTTAGGTTAACAAATACACCCTTAGACTTAAGTTTTATCTGATACTTATAGTGGTTTGTACTCTCTTCTAGGGTTTTAACCATTGACTGTACTAAGAGCAACTTCAACCACGCTCAATAAAATAGTTATTCAAAATATATTTAAATATTGTATTCTCTATTTTAGCTATCCACTTTTTCAAATTCACTTCAATCACACTCTCTATTTTAGTTGATTACTTCAACTAACTTTAACTAATTTTTCATAATATAATTCAAAAATTCAACTCAAAGCATGTATAATAATCAACCCAATCAAAATCATACTATAATAATAATTCTAATTAAAATTTAAATAATACAACTTAATGGCAATTTAACATTCATCCACTTTAAATAACAAAAATTAATTGCACAATACATCTCATAAAATTAAGATTTTTCCAAATACTTACAGTAATATTTTTTAGGGGTCTAAATGTAAATATTCTATTATACATAAAACTAAGGGAGTTTTCAAAATTTATGGGAGTTTTAGAATTTATTAGGGGTTTCAGAATTTATTAGGGGCTTTTCAAAATTTGGGGGGGGGGGGTTGGTTCAAAATTTATCAAACACTTGACAGACAAATTTAGCACATATGTGTCTGATGTACATACAAATTAAACAATTCTGCAAAAACACATCAGAACCCAATTCAAAATTCCTCATCAACCCATGTATCTGCATTCCTTGATCAACCCATTCTAGAACATGCTTTCAACACCAACAAAAACGACCAGTGGTTTTCTGAGCTCTTG